GAAGGAAGGAAGGAAGGAAGGAAGGAAGGAAGGAAGGAAGGAAGGAAAAAGAAAAGGAAAAATAGAGACAGTCTTCTTGCCAACAGAAACACACCAGATCATAGTTTGGGATGCATGTCCATGAAGCATTTCCAAAGTCACAATGAACTGTTCTTCTGTCCAATCTAGATTCTTATTTCTAGAACCTATTAGAAAGCACAACCTCTCTGGGCAGATGTTTTCGAAAAAGGTGACCCCTGGGCTGATGCAGCCCCACATCTGGTGAGGCCAGCTCCCAGGCAGAGGTGGCTTAGCCCAGGATGCACAGGCTGGACTTTGGTCCCCACCTGTCTACTTTGCTGGATGCCTTGGAAGCAGTGTCCAAAGTACACAGTCATGGGTGGCTGGTCATTCCCCCTTTTCACTTAAGAAAGATGACATTGTGAAAAGCAGCCAGAAGAAGAGAGTAGAAGTTGTGGCAACTCTATCTTGGCCCCGCTTCACCCCCTATTTATTCAGATTACTGGGATGCACACGTGGAGTTTAGGTCCAGGGCAGCTCCTTAGCATATGGGCTACACAGGGCTCACTTCCATAGAATGTCTAAGGAAAGCCCAGGTGAGCAGGAGGGAATCTGGAAACTAGGAGAGCATTTGTCATGCACCTGTGGCATCACCTTGGACACAGCGGGGTGTCCCTGATCCCCACCTCTACCCTTCTAGAGAAAGCAAAATGAATGGGTGAGCTTGGTAGACTCTGGCATCCTTCCCCACTGGCCTTCAGCCTTACCTACAATGGTGAGGGTGGCTCTAAAGTGGCCGTATCTGTTAATCTGGCAGTTTCCATTGGGAGTCTCGCTCATCTCCAGGGAGTTGTCACCAGCAGGCACTGGAGTGTTTGAATAATAAGATTTTAAAACATTTGCTAAGAATGTAACAGATGTACATGACAGAAATGAAGATTATTTTTTAATATACATACTTTTATTTGTTCTAATTAGTTATACATGATAGTAGAATGCATTTTGACACATTATATATAAGTGGAATATAACTTCTCATTTGTCTGGTTGTACAAGATGTAGAGTTACACAGGTTCTGCAATCATATATGCACATGGGGTAATAATGTCTGATTTATTCTACTATCATTCCTACCCCTATTCTCCCTCTCCTTCCTTCACTCTATTCCTATTCTCCCCCCCTTGTGTATTCTCCCCAGCCCCTTATTGTGAATTAACATCTGTGTACCAGGGAAAACATTCAGCCTTTGGATATAACTGAAAATTTAAACATTTATCTATCTGCTATTTTGAAAAAAAAAATTAAGAATTGCACACATTGATGCAGAAATTTGAACTAAATGTATAAAGATTCATACAGATGTGAGGGCTATAAGGTATTATAATTATTAAATTATGTAAATAAACATAATCCCCAACCCCCTTTCTTGGTAGTGCTGGGGATGGAACCCAGGATTCTTGTCCATGGCAGGCAAGCCCTTTATCACTGAATTATACCCCAAGCCCCAAACACAATCCTATATCTTGTTTAAACACAGGAAGCAAATGAAAAGATGAAACCATATTAAAATGTGTGATACAAGCTGGGCACGGTGGTGCACTCCTGTAGTCTCAGCGGCTTGGGAGGCTTGAGGAAGGAGTAAGGCACTAAGCAACTCAGTGAGACCCTGTCTCTAAAGAAAATAAAAAATAGGACTGGGGATGTGGCTCAGTGGTTGAGTGCACTGAGTTCAATGCCTAATTCCAAAAAAAAATAAAAATAAAAATAAATAATAATAATAAAAATTAAAAAAATCTGTGATATAGGATTACAGTGAAATAAAGCAGGTCATGATAGATGAAGTCACATTTGAATTTGGGAGGCAAGCATTCTGGGCCGAAATTCTAGCAGCATTCATTTTTAGCTGTTTGAAACCAAGGTCACCTAGCTTAACTTTGCTCTATCTGCTTATATATAAAACAGGAATAAAAATTATACCCTCCCAGGGTCGAACCATGAAACTTAAATGAAATAAGGTATATAAAACCTGCTTCTCATATGGCTGCCCCATAGGAAATATTTAAATATCAGTTCTCTAGTTCTCATAATATGGAAAAAAGTACTTTTCTCTCTGTTTGGATGACTCACAGTTCCAAAGGATCCATTTTAAGAATCTTACTGTGATGAAAATTATGGGAAAAAAAAGAGAAGAGAATGTAAGACATGAATAAGTGTTGAGTATAATTAGAGCAAAGACTCTAATATCCTACTAGTTATAATTTTAAAGGTGTTGCCACTCTTTGAACAAGATGAAAAGACTAGAAAGGAAATATGGTGCTGAAAATATGCCCCTATCATCTCTTTTTATTGATTTATTTTATTTTTTTGTGGTGCTGGGGTTTGAACCCCTGAACCACATCCTCAGCCTTTCTTTTTAGTTACATTTCATTGAAATGCACGAGCCTTGGGGAAGGACATCAAAGCTTCCTAGGAGCCCCTTATCTGGCTTCATGACATGTAAGGATGAAGCCAGTTGGGAGATTTCTCCAGGCCTTCTATGACTATGGGTGACATGACCTGTGACGCTCTTGTGCCTGGAAAGGACTTCTCAGAGCTGTTCTCAGCACATTTCCAGAAACTAGTGCTTCATGACAGTTGGGAAATGCCTGCTGCTTAGTGGATCTTAGAGAGGTCCTGGCACTGCAGTGGATTATCAGGACAGGCTGTTGCAGGCTCTTGGGAATGTCCCTTGAGTTTCACAGTGGTCATTTGGAAGTGACTACAGGATATTCAGTCTCTCCCAAGACTAGGCTGATATGCTTTATAGAAATAGATTTGTTTGTGCAGGACATTTAAGATCACTAGTTCTTCCCCAGAAAACGACAAAATTCCTTCTTCTGAGGTTCTTGACAGGCAGAATTTAGAGCATAGAACCATGACCTTGTCGTATTTTAAAACAAAACTTCTTTTTAAAAAAGACCAAATAATAAGATTCAGTCATTCTACCTTAGGTAGAGAGTTTATAAAATGCACATGGAGTTTTATAGATATTATATCCACAAAGTCAAGGTATGATTAAAGGGTTGATAAAAAGAAATGAACACTTTAAAAGATGGAAAAGAAGGCACATTTTATCCTTAATTCAGTATTTATGTCCCTGTTACCCAGAGAATGGTAGAATGGGAGGTAAAGATCTTGATTTTTTTTTTTGTACCAGGGATTAAACTCAAAGATACTCAACCACTGAGTCACATCCCCAGCCCTTTTTGATATTTTATTTAGAGAAGGGTCTCACTGAGTTATTTAGGGCTTTGGTAAGTTGCTGAGGCTGGCTTTGAACTCATGATCCTCCTATCTCAGCCTTTTGAGCTGCTGGGATTACAGGTATGTGCCATCACACCCGGTTTGATTCTTTAAGTCTAATATGAGAGGATACGGTATATATGTATACATGTGAATATATATCAGAACATGGTATCTATTCAGATCCTTACGTATATCCTGATACATATACCACACATATTATATTACACTGATCAGCATCAGTCTTACAAGGATTGCTTTAGATTTTTTCACAAAAGTCTGAAAAGTGGCCAGGCGTAGTGGCTCATGTTTATAATCCCAGCAGGTTGGGAGGCTGAGGCAGGAGACTCGTGAGTTCAAAGTCAGCATCAGCAATTTAGCAAAACCTTGTCTTAATATAAAACATAGAAAAGGGTTCTGCGGTTAAGCATGCCTGGGTTCAATCACTGGTACCCTCTCCCCCCAAAAATCTGAAAAATGAACAAGAGCACTGTCAGCTAAGGAAAGAGCATTCTGTGACAAAAACAGTGCACACACACCTGCCCCATGATTTAATCAGCTAACGTCATCACCTCTTCAACTCTGTAACCATCTCATGACTGTGGTTGCACTTGGTTTCTGTTTTGGGCTGTTTTTTTTTTTCCCATATGAAGCCCCTTGCTAAAGCAGGGGGTGCATAATTTTTGGACAAATAATAATATAATGCTCAATAATCCAAGCCCATTAATTTGAGAGCACAGTTAGAATTGTTCTCTGGGAAAAAATTCCATTTGTTTATTTATTTATTTGCAGTGCTTGAATACAGGACCTTACCCTTGCTAGAAGCACACCACCGTCACTGAGCTATATCCCCCGCCCTTAGAAGAAAAGACCTCTTTTAGAAGCCATGAGCTGACTCCTATTATCACCCAACTAGCTTTATCCTAACATGTCAGGAAGTTATACATGGGGTTTTAGGAAGATTTGATGCCCTTCCCCAAGGCTGGTTCATTTCAATGCCTGTTAATTAGCCCCACTCTTCCCTCCCTGCACAGCTTCAAGGCATTTTGGGATTGATTAAACACCTTTAGATAAAAACCAACCAGGAAACTTCCCTTCATAATTAAACTTAACTAACTCATAAGGTTTACTAGTTTGTCTTATGGTCTAACTTAGAAAAAATGATAGCAGAATTTTACACCTGTTCTTATTTGTAAGGAAGACCATCAATACTTATAGATAAAGAAATTGGTTCATCTGCAGAAATACTAGAATGAAAGCCAGGTTTGGTGGCACCCACCTGTAATCCCAGTGGCTTGGGAAGCTGAGGCAGGAGGATGGAGAGTACAAAACCAGCCTCAGCAATGTAGTGAGGCTCTAAGCAATTTAATGAGACCCTTTCCCTAAGTTTATTTATATATATTATTGATATAAATTTATTTATATAAATATGAATGAAGGGCTGGGGGTAGTTCAGTGGTGTAGCACCCCTGGGTTCAATCCCCAGTACAAAAAAAAAAAAAAAAAAGAATGAAGCTGTGTATTTAAACTAGTCCAGTACACTTGTATTTGTAATTGTAATTAGGATTAACCTTATCACTCATCAAAAAAGACAACGAACAATAGCATCTACATCCTATGAAACACTATGTAGTAACTGAATAAAATGAGATAGACTAATATTTGCTGATAATGGAAAGATGTCTATGATGTTGTTCACTTAAAAAAACTGTATAAATATATATCCATCATATTTATACAGTTTGCTTATCCATCATGAATCCACTTACATAAAAACCAAAATGATAAACCTACATGTGTATCATGTATATACAAAATATGTTTGTAAATGCACAGAAAAAGATCTGGAAAGAAACAGTCCCTGGCACACACCAGGAATCCCAGCTACTTGGGAGGCTGAGGCAGGAAGATGACAACTTTGAGGGACCCTGTCTCTAAATAAAAAATAAAAAGGACTGGGGATGTAACTCTATGGTATGGCAAAACAAACAAACAAACAAAAACCCACTGCCAACTCCAACAGGAAAAAGAATGTAATAAGGACTTTTACTTTTTACTCTAGACTTTGCTGTTTAATTTTTACTATGAAATGTACATTAATTTCGTAATTTAAAACATTTCAAAAAACAATCAGAGTCAGTACTAATACCATATAGTGTCTTGATTTCGTCATTTAATTTTTTTTTTTTTTTTTTTTGGAACTGGGTATTGAACTGAGGGCCTCATTAGGCAGGTGCTTACCACTGAGCTACAACCCCAACCCGAGATGTTCTCGATTTAACAAGATAACATTTTATTACTTACACTTGAGCAGTTTGTTATTTATAACCAACAAGTGTTGGTAGAAACAACCACAGCAGGCACTGGCAGGCATCCTGATGGAGTGTTCCTGCTGGGTTTGGTCATGGCGCCCTCTTGTGACCACTGAGAGGATGTCAGCCTGGGGTGCTAAGATGAGCAAATGGCCCAGTGAGGAAGGGTGGCGCTGGCATGGGGTAGTGGGGATGGGAGCCAGTCTCTTCAAAGTGGTCTCTGAGGAACTTCTTGAATGTCTTCACAGACTATTAATAGAAGGTGGTATTGGATTAATCAAGCTTTATTTTCTGGAGCAATTGAAATGGCTGGAGTGGCCCAGGCTTGCTGGTCCAGAAAGGCCTGCAAGCATCATTCTTTCTTGAGCCATTTGGCAGTTGCTTTCAAGTATAGCTATGTCTTCATGGGACACTGGATGAGAGTGGATAGGGTAGGGGAGGAGAATAAGTGTGGGATCAGTACTGTGGGAGGGGGCAGAAGGAAAATGGAGAGGGCCCAACTTTACAAGAGGCCAGTGTGTCTTCTCATCCATATGGAAAATGGGAGCTAAACAAAAATGTGACAGGCTCCGAGAGGGAAAGCATCACATACATAGCAAGAGGCAGCCCAAATTAGGAGGGTCAAAGCGCCGAGTACGTGTCATCAAATTCTACCTGGAAAATGACTTTAAACACGTTTTCCTTTCTTCCTTGCTCTTTAAGATGGTGATAAATTGGTTTTAAAAAATCAACAGGTCCAAAGTGGAATCGTTGCAGAGTCTCTACACAACTCTTTCAAAAGGCATTTGTTTATTTGTATGATGCTGAGGGTTGAACCAGGGCCTTGCTCATGCTTGGCAAGCACTCTACCACTGAGCTGCCCCAGACCCTTAACTTAAGCAGGGTTTAATAATATAACCCTGGATTTGATCCCCAGCATCACGGGTGTGTGTGTGTGTGTGTGTGTGTGTGTGTGTGTGTGTGTATGTGTATAACATACATGAATATTTTTTAGCCACTAAAGAATCTCTCCCCAGAATAGGAAAGACAGTAGAATGAATCAGACATAACTTTCCTCCGTATATACACAACTAATGAATCTCCATATCATGTACAACTGCAAAAATGGGATCCCAATTAGACTAAGTTATAATCCACATACATATAATATGTCAAAATACACCCTACTGTCGTGTATATCTAAAAAAAAAACAAATAAAAAAATTTAAAAGAGAATTTCCCTCCAGGATCCTCCATAAAATGCTTACCTAATAAGGAGGTTGGTTTTGGAGGTCTGGGTGAAGGTGGAGGGCAAGGTCCGGGCACGGCCGCGTGCACTGTGAGGTTCAGGTTGAAGGTTCCATTGAGCACATACGTGTGATTCAAAGTGTGATTGTTGGAAACAAACAAGCCAGTGTTATCCCCAAAGTTCCACTTGTAGTCAATGGCAGATTCATTGAGGAAGTGGCTGGGATCGTGAATCAGGACATCAAACTTGATGGGGAGGTCTCTGAGGAAGGTTTCATCAGATGAATTTCGATCATTCTTCTGGGACATGGTCACAAATACAGGAATCTCATCTACAAAAAAACATCACAAAGAAGAAGGATTGCACCAGGCTTTATCTAAAGTGGTGAGGCTTTTAGGTTAAAAATTAGTTAAAAATCTCCTTTTTGTATGTAAGTTTTCTCAAGTTCTTCTGGAAAACATAGATGGGATACAACATAATTAAGCTTGGGTAGGGGCCCAGGTGAATCATAACCTAACCCAGGATACTCAGTGCTCTTTCTTAACCCCCAGTAGAGCCACGTGCCTCATCCTCAGAGCCCACAACACCACGCACCTGTTACCACGTACACATCTTTAACCTGTGCAATGGGCATGTACGCCCGGCCGTGTCTTCTATAGACAGTCACTTCCATGACATGGGAGCCAAGCGTCATGTTGGTTGTGTTTATAGAAACTCTCACGGAGCATCGTCCCAACTTCTGGAAATACTGACCTACAAGGAGATGGACGTTCTTAGTTACCTGCAACTTCACACCATCTTTCTAGAAGTTGATTCTGAAAGACCAGTGACTGCCATGGAGGGATTGCCCTGAGGAGGGATGATGGGAAGGGAAGATAGAGCTGCTCCAGGAAGGAAGATGGTTTCTATGTAGCGCTTTCTAGAGCACACCCACAGTGTACACACATCATTGTGGGTTGTTGGTTAAAATGAAAAGAGCTATTTATTGGGATAATACAGTTGGCCCTCAGTTTACAAGTAAATACTGTACATGACTGAAGTGATTTGGCACTTGAAGTACACATTTTTTTCCCCCACAGAAAATGCATTTAATGTGCTGAATGTTTTCTCTGATATAAGGAGGCTGATTCATAGTGAGGTAGGGAGAGGGAGCATGGGAGGAATAGGAACTCTAGATAGGGCAGAGGGGTTGGAGGGAAGGGAGGAGGCATGGGGTTAGAAATGATAGTGGAATGTGATGATCATTATTATCCAAAGTACCGGTATGAAGACATGAATTGGTGTGAATATACTGTGTATACAACCAGAGATATGAAAAATTGTGCTCTGTATGTATAATAAGAATTGTAATGCATTCTGCTGTCATATGTAAATAAAAAAAATAAAATGCATTTAATGTAACAGTGAGGTGTTCTACCTTAATTTGTTGACAATATGACTAGAGCTATATTGTTAAACAGGATTTTTTTTTAAAAGAGGCACAGGAATCCTCTACTTTCTGATAGTATTTGTATCACTGTCACTATATAAAGATATATGTATACACACACATTTAACCAACACACACACGTGTGTGTGTGTGTGTGTGTGTGTGTGTACTATATAAAGTAAGTGATGAGAGAAAGATGTAGATAGAAGAGGGAATGGAGGAATAGTTTTACAAGTGGAAAATGTTAATCCCAGCTCTGAGAGATGTGATCAAGCTTAGTTGAGTTGGGAATATCCCTAAACTCTGAGACCTCAGTAGAGGATGGAAATTCACGAGAGTCTTGTTAGAAAAACAGCAATTTCTAGGTTGAAGACTGACTTTTAAGCAAAGACATCTGATCTGGTTAAGTTGAAGGAACTTAATCACAACTAGGCTAAAGAGTGTTAAACTTCAACTTGGGGGCTGGAGATATGGCTCAGTGGGTAGAGTGATCGCCTAGCATGCACCAAGGCCCTGGGTTCAATCCCCAGCATCACCAAAAAATCCCACTCCCCACCAAAAAAAACCTTAACTACATGGTGCCAGGAGTGGTAGTGAAGATAAGTGACTCCATGTAAACAGTCAGAACACATCCTTGATGGGTCAAGGAAGTCATGTTTGGTGAGTTGACTGACAGGACCAAGATGGAATTGAAAAAACAGCTTTAAAGCAATTGATGGGCATAATATTTGACATTTTGTACTTTGTTTAATAAGTATGTATTATGATTTTGTTTTTATATATAAATAAGTTCAATGAGGAGAAAGGTACATTCTCTAATTTATGAGGAAAGAAGAAACATTTAGAGATGTGGAAGCTGTTTGGTAGTAGTTTCAAACACTCGCCTGGTAGCTTTTTTTTTTTTTTAATTGTACTGGGGATAGAGCCCAGGATGTTGCACATGCTAACAGCACTCTAACCCCGGTTACATCCCTAGCCCTCTGGTGACATTTTAAATTAAAAATTTAGCAGCCTTGCTAATAATAACCTAAATTTGCTTCTCCTAAAATAATCACTTTTCCACTAATAAAGCAAAGAGAACACCATTTATGGTTTACAAAAAGAGAGGGTAGGCTATGTTAAGGAAGAACAGTAATTAGATGATATTATTTCTACATAATGGAATATTATGCAGCCATTAAAATAATGTAAATAGGAATTTTTAATGATAGTAGCTTGTAATAGCAAGCAAAAACAGGTATAGATTCTAATCTTAAGACAGAGGGCTGGAGATGTGGCTCAGTGCCCCTGGATTTAATCCTTGGTATAAAAAAATACATATTAATATTTCCAGGCCCTATGATACATGGCTATTATCCCAGGAGGCTGAGGCAGAAAGATTATAAGTTTGAGGCGAGTCTTTGCAATTTGGCAAAACCCTGTCTCAAAATAAAATCCAAAGGGCTAGGATGTAGCTTAAGACATGCCTCGCATGTGCAAGACACTAGGTTCAATTCCAGGTACAACAAACAGAAAGGAAATATTAGTAGTGAAAACACCATCATGTTCAATGGATGAAGTGTATTTTTTGTTTGTGTTTTTCTGCATTTCCCAAATTCCCCTCAAAGAGCATACATTTAATTCTTAAAAATTCATTTGAGGACATTAAAGAATAAATGCCCATCCATGTGCCATCTGAATGAATAAATATTAATAGGTTTTTTTCATATTACTGTTTTAGCCTAAATAATTGAGTGATTTTGTTTTGGAAAAAAAAATGAGAGAGAGAGAGAGAGAGAGAGAGAGAGAGAGATTGGATCTGTTTTTTTCTTCTTTTCTCATTTTAATTCTTTGGTGTCCTGGAGATCTAGCAAGGTCAAGCAGAATTTTATTTTTCTCTCTTATGTCCATTCAAACTCAGGAGAGTTAATGGAGTAACTGTTGTTCAAGTTTTGGTGTTATAATTTCAATTTTAGTGTAAGAAAAGAGAAGGTTAAGGTTTTCTTCTCATTATTCTTCTCTATTATTGTTTTTGGTACTGGGGACTTATATCTGGGGAGTTGGGTGGTGGCTACCACTGAGCTACATCTCCAGTGGTTTTTTTTTTTCATTTTTACTTTGAGATAAAGTCTCACTAAACTGCTGAGGCTGGCCTCAAAATGATCATCCTTCTGCCTCAGTCTCCCAAGTCACTGGGATTACAGGTGTGCACCCCACAGCTGGTGTGAAGCTTAAAAATTCTTTAAAAAGACAAAGAAGAGGCTAAAAGAGTTTGTAAAAGTCTAACCCTGTGTGTGAAAGATGTAGACAAAATTCCATTTCTTCCATCCATGGTGGTGAGGGAAAGGCTTCCCGTCAGGGAACACATTGTGCTGGCTTTGGCCAGGGCCATTCCCCCAGTCACTGTCCTCTGACCAGGACGTCCAGTTGTAAACATACGGGTCAAGAGACAAGCCAGAATCTAAACAGAGAAAGAAACAAGACATGATTATCATGCTCAACTCTGAATTAAATATTTTATTAACTCCCCACCCCCAGTCCCACCCCATATTGAGTTTTGAACCCAGGGGCACTCTACCACTGAGCTACATCCCAGCCCTTTTTATTTTTGTTTTGCAACAATAAATTAATCTCTATATCTATACCTATGCAGATATAAATATAAACTTACAGAGAGAAGCAAATATAGCAAAAATTTTAGATTGTTGACCATAGGTCGAAGGTATCTGGGTGCTTTCAATTTTTCTGTGTGTATGGAATTTTCCATTTTAAACAAGTAATGGTCAATATCTTTTCATCTAGAACAGTCCCCTTACCCTCTTTTATTTATTTATTTATTGTCACTGATATTTTTGAAAAATCTTTTTTTTTTTTTCCTCCCCAGTTCTGGGGATGATACTCAGGGCCTCACAATGCTAGGCTGCTAGGCAAGCTCTCTACCCCTGAGCGACATCCCCAATCCTTGAAAAGCCTATTTATTTATTTGGGTACTGGGGGTTGAACTCAGGGGCACTCTGCCACCGAGCCACATCCCCACTCCTATTTTGTATTTTATTTAGATACAGGGTCTCACTGAGTTGCTTAGGGCCTCACTTTTGCCGAGGCTGGCTTTGAACTCGCGATCCCCCTGCCTCAGTATCTGGAGCCACTGAGATTACATGTGTGTGCCACTGTGCCTGACCCTTTTTCTTTATGAATCTATAAGTTGTTATTGCTTTTTATATTTAAATTATCCCAAACATGGCCAATGGAAGCTCCTTGAGCTGGCTCCTGTGTCTTTTTGACATAACCTGGGTAGTCTGTGAGCTCTTTCTTATTTTCTGGCACAACAGATGTCTCAGGATGGCCTAGTACTTTCTTACCTTACACCTGGAATCGGTCACTTCTGCAAAGATTCCTAGTTTTTCTTTTCTTTCTTTTTTTTTTTTTTTTTTTTTTTTTTAGTGATGATAGATACTTATAAACATTTTCATAAGAATTATTTCCCATAAAAATGCTCACAGGACTAGATTGTCATAAGAATCAGCTTTTTTTAAAAAAGAAGAAACAGAAAAAAAAGACCATATTACTTAACACGTGTTAAATATTAAGCCCTTTCCATACAGAATTCAATGTTTTCCCCAGAGGAGAAGGTAAAAAAATAATAAGGCATGAACTCATCAACAGTTTAATAAAAATTCTAAATAATAAAATCAGATTATAAAGACATTGAATAGTTTTAGCACTGATTGAAGAATAAGCTTCAGTAAATTAGCTGTTCTTTTCTTTTTTAAGAATGTACAGTTTTAGGGCTGGGGTTGTGGCTTATCGTTAGAGTGCTCACGTGCAAGGCCCTGGGTTCAATCTTCAGCACCACATAAGAATAAAATAATAATAATAATAATAATAATAATAATGAATGTACAGCTTTGAAAAGATAATTTCCCTTGATGGAGCCACATCCACAGCCCTATTTTGTATTTTATTTAGAGACAGGGTCTCACTGAGTTGCTTAGTGACTCACCATTGCTGTGGCTGGCTTTGAAACCTCGATCTTCCTGTCTCAGCCTCTGAGCTGCTGGGATTAAAGGTGTGTGCTACCATGCCGGGCTAAAGAGCTTATCTCTTTAAGAGCCCCAAATACACATTTGAGCATTTGTGCAAGCCACACAGCATTTGCTTGAGAAATACTGTTCAGCAGAAATTGAACTCATCAGCAAACATCTGTCAAATTGGCAATTTTATCTCCAAAAAAAGTTCCAAGTAATAAAATCATAATCTGAGATCAATGAGGTTGTCCATTCAACTGGACACTAAGAAAAAGCTGGGTGGGACAGTGTAGTTTTTAAAGAGGGATCCAATCAGCACAGCCACCAGTGGGCTGAAGTAGGTTTGGCTGCTGTTGATTTGATGAAGGGACCTGGTAGGACCACACTCTCCCTCGCTGTCGTCCAGCACAAGGAGGAGGGTGGCAAGGACAGCAGCAGCATCTTGCCCTTTCAGAAGTACCTGTGAGCATTAAGGGGTAGAGACGGGTCTCCTGTAGTTCAGGAGAACTACTGCATTCTCACCATTTCTGCAGTTCTTCTCGTAGACGATGTTGCCGTTGGCATCTTCCTTTTGGCATCTGGGGAATACCAGGTTCACTGCAAAGGTTATGTTTGAGCCCACCAGTGCCGGTGAGTCACTGGTCAGGACCGCCTGCACACGGCCTCCTAGAGCAATAAGAAATGGAGCTCACTGATCTTTTACCTTTCACCCATTAATAAACATTTAAAGTAAAGTTTAATCAATTGATAAGGTCCAGAAAGAGGATCCATATGTCTCTTTGGACTTTTTTGTTTTTGAGATGGGGTCTTGCTATGTTGCCCAGGCTAGCCTCAGACTTGCAATCCTTCTGCCTCAGCCTCCAGAATAGCTGGGATTACAGGCACACTTCACCTGGCTCCATATGTCTCTTTATGCTATATTAAATTTATTTTCTGAATGCCTTACTTTAGCTTTCAGAATACAACATTCTAGAAGATAAACAGAAATCTGACTCGTGAAAGAATTTTCTAACCACTGAAAAAATATTTACTTATGATGATTAAAAAAATCTGCTCAATGGGATGGAGGAGACAAATGTTAAAAGTTCACATATTTTTTCATCTCAATACCCAAGGACTGAAGGACTCATTATTTATCTAAGTAGAAAGATATTCGCTTTGTGATGAACCACACTTTTCTGAAGGTGACCATTCCCACGTTGGTTAGAAAGGTTTGAGACTAAACCTGCTGACTTTCCAAAATATTTCAAGCATTATAAATTTGGAAAATTCTAAGATTATAAAGTGGTCTAGAAAGTGAAACAGTAGGGATAAAGGAGAGATCATCAAATCCGGATGCCATGCATTTGGAAGTGACAGCGAAAACCTGAACTCTGTAACCTCCAAGACTTGCTAAAGTCAGAAATTCCAGTTGTGAGGGTTCAATTGGGCTTACCTTTCCAGGAATTTTTCCACCTTGCATCTCCCTTCTTCCACACGGGATACAGCTTTTCGTTCCAGTCATTTTCATCGGAAGACCAGCCATTTAATTGGTTGTGTTTCCTCATATAACCAGGATACCTTTCATTGCCCAGCACATCATGAAATCCTGTGTTGGTATTTGAAAAACAAATTACTTTGTCTATTCCATCCCTTATTTAGTCCTTATGCAACAATCGTTAAAGAAGATTTCATTTCATACCGTTGGAAAGCACATCCATAATACAGCCAGCATGCCAAGTAAACAGAGGGTGCTTTTTAAAAAATGAGTTTACTGGAAATAACTTGCATACAGCATTTGGAACCGATCTCTTTTATGTACTTTAAATGAACCAAAAAAATGTTTTGAAAGCCAGTATTTCTTCGACATCTCTTGGCTTCTTATATCTTCCGAACACTTGGATTTGGTACAATATCCTTAGGAAAACTCGGATGCCAGTGTTCTTCAGACAGTTTTTGCATCTTTTTCCCAGTCTGAACTATGCTGTTGGCTAAGGAAAGTTAGGCTCAAGAATGCCTCCAGGATTCCAAGAGACACATACCAGGGCTGGAGATCCCACCGTGAAAGAAATTTTTTACAGCCCAGAATATAATCTGGCTTGGTGAATGTTCCCTATGCACTTGTAGAGTTATATTTGGGGCTGGGGTTAGAGCTCAGTGGCAGGGTGCTTTCCTAGCAGGTGCAAGACCTTGCGTTTGAGTCCCCATACCACCAAAAAAAAAAAAAAAAAAGTAACTATGTTAAGCTAATTGATGATGTTTTTGTCTACTTTTTATTTCAATTACTGAGAGAGGAATCTTGAAATCTTCAGAATTGTGCATTGTCAAAAATTTGCTTATTTCTGTCAGTTTTTGCTACATGTTTTTGGAAGCTCTGTTTTTAGGTATATAGGCATTTAGATGTGTTAAGTCTTCTTGATGAGTTGATCTTTTTCTTATTAGAAATTGATCCTCTGCCCCTGGTAATACTCTTTGTTCTGAAAAATACTTTGATATTAATGCTTAGTGTTTAACTGGTATATATTTTTCTATTTTTTAAAAAATTTTTAACCTAGGTGCATTTTTATGTTTGAAATGGGTTTCTTGGAGACATCATATAGTTGGCTCTGTTATTGCAAATCTAGTCTGGAAAAAAATCTCCACCTTGTACTTGAAGTGTTTAGATAATTTATATTTAATTTAATTATAAATACTGTGCAATTTAAGTCTTCTGGTGGTCCCATCTGTTCTTCTTTCCTGTCTTTCTTCTCTAGCTGTACTTTTTAGGATTTTATTTGTATTCCATTCTGTCTTTACTACTGGCTTATTAACTGTATCTCTTTGTCTTATTTTGTTTTGAATGATTGCTCTAGAGTTTATAATATTATAATTCCTTTAAAATTCTTTCTGATCTTCATTGTTGATGTCTTCCTTGCCTGACAACTCTGGTCACGTGGTCTCCACTTTCTTTGAAGATTGTAGCAGGTTGGTTGATTGGCTACCAGCAGCCGTTTCCTGCTCACACTCCAGTTTTTCCCTCCCCGACAGAGGCTCTGCTACAACATATCAAAATTTCAGACACTTTCCCAGCGTTTCTTACAGTTTGGGAAGAAGCAGACGATTAAATCCTAGGCAGTGAAAGCGGAGAGGAAATCTGTTGAGAGCTTCTAGGACAAGGTTTCCTCTTTTATAAAAAGAGACACGAGAGAATGAACTCCCTATTTTTCCTTTCAGAATTATAATATTTCGTTCATGGCCAAATGTCAATTACCTGAAATCTTTAGTCAACCACTAATCATATGCTTTTAAAAATCATTGTCTCATCAATTAATCTAGTGCTGGCTTGACCTGGCCACAAACTCTTAAAGGCCCAAAACTCTGTTTTTTTAAGCTCTGGAAAAGGTCTGTCACATGGTATGGTATTTAGTGGGTGCTCAGAGAAACCATATTGAATGTTTGCTACTGACCTCCTTTATCTTTTCCTTTTTTTGATGATGCTGGGGATTGAACCCAGGAGTGCTCTAGTGCTCTACTACTGAATTACATCCCCAATTCTTTTTATTTTTCCTTTAGAGACAGGGCTCACTAAGTTGCTGAGGCTGGCCTCAAGCTTCTGATCCTCCTGCCTCAGCCTCCTGAGTCACTGGGATTACAGGCATGTGTCACTGAGCCTGGCTCTTTTGTATCCAGCAGGAGAAAGAGTTTTTTTTTCTCCCCAGGAAGAGACATTTTGTTGTCCCCTCTTAACAGGGAGTCAGGTGGAATGGGAGAGAACATTGATCTAGGTGTCATAGAGCCTAGGTTCTAGCCTCGGTTCTGCTACTAAACTGGCTGTCTGACCTCAGGTCATATGTTTTTTCTGGACCTTCAAATTAGACAAAACCCAAATGCTATGTGATTCTGTCATTATTCTTATTTGGAAACAGATGCTGAGTGAGGACAGGAAATTCATGTTTATCAATAAATGTTTGTAATAGGAAATTCACTTTTAATTGAGTCACAGAGACTGAACTCCTTCCCTTTGCGGATGAATAAAGCCAGGCCTAGAGACTGATATGATTCACCTAGGGCCATCTTTAATGTAGTGGAAATGAAGATTCACATCTTTTCATCCTCACGACTAGTTCTTTCTATTTCAAAGAGCCTTCTTCTTCCTCAGATCCTGAGAGAATTTCCAGAAATATAATCAAAACACAGATTTCTCCTCTGATTTTAAATGTTAGAAGTCAAGGAAAAATATAAACTTAAAAGGAGCGTGTCAAGGGATAGACACATAGGTCAGTGGAAATGAAGTAGGGGGCCCAGAAATAGACCCACACAAGTATGGCCTACTGATTTTTGACAAAGATTTAGAAATTATCCAGTGGAGAAAAGATGGACTTTCAACAAAAGGTGCTGGGAAAAAAAGTAATAAGCATAGACAAAAACCTTCAGGATTCAGGGCTAGACCAGAATTTAGACTTGATACCAAAGCTATAAACCATAAAAGGAAATACTGATGTATTGGGCCTTATTAAAACAAAAAAATTTGCTCTGTCAAAGTCTATGTAAGGGGATGAAAAGTAGAGCTACCGACTAGGAGAAATTTTTTGCATATCACATTTCCAACAAAGGAGTAGTATTCTCATATATAAAAAATTCTCAAAATTTGACCTGAAAAAACAACCCATTCAATTAGAAAAATGACTAAAAAACATGAACAGATATATCAACAAAGAGAATATACAGACGACAAATAATCACATGGCAAGATACCCAACTTCATTAGCCAATAGGGAAATGCCTGATAAAACTACAATGAAAAAACCCCATAGATCTATCAGTTTAACCCAAATAAAGAGTAATGCAGCAAAGGAAGTAGGGACAGTCAGTTATTGCTAGTGGCAATATAAAATGGTAGAGCAAGACTGTTGATTTCTTGTAGAACAGCACACAACTGCTGTACAACCAATCAATTGACTCTTTGATGTGCGTCCTAGGGAAATGAACTTACGTTCATATCAAAGTCTGAAGTTCATATCAAAGTCTGAAGATTCACAGCAGCTTTACTCAGAGTAACCCCAAGAGCAATAACCCAAATGTCCTTCAGTGGGTGAATGATTCAACAAGCTCTGGTTCATACAGACCATGGGATACTACTCAGCAGTAAAAAGGAACAAACTTTTTTTGGGGGAGTGGGGGGTACCAGGGATTGAACCCAGGGGCGCTTAACCACTGAGCCACATCCCTAACCCTTTTAATTTTTTATTTAGAGACAGGGTCTTGCTAAGTTGCTTAGGGCCTTGCTAAATTGCTGAGGCTGGCTTTGAACATGCAATCCTCCTACTCAGCCTCTGGAGCTGAGATTATAGGCATAGGCCACAGTGTTCGGCTAGGAACAAACTATAGATGCAGCAACTTTAATAAATTTCCAGGGAACTACGTTGAGTCAAAGAAGAGCCAGTGCCAAATGGTCACTTACTGTATAATTCCATTTGCGTGCATTCCAGAAATTACAAAATTATAAAAATGGAGAATGGATTTGTGATTGCTAGGGTCTGGGAAGTGGTGGAGGGGGGTGGATTTGGCTATAAAAGGGCATGAGGATGCTTGTGGTGATGACTGGTTCTGTATTTTGACTATCTTAATGTCAATATCTTGGTTACGATACCAGGATTTGCCTTATCTCACTACTGGAGCAAAGTGGGTGAAGGGTGCATCGAGATCTATTATTTCTTACAATTTCATATGAATGTATAATTACTTCAAAAGGAAAGGTCAGATTTGAAAATAAGATAAATGAACGGTATGCAGGCTCTAAAAGGAAGCAACAAGTGTGTGTGAATGTGGGGGGAGGAGACACAGGCAGAAGGTAGGACTGAGTGGCCCACTGCTGGGTGGGCTTCACCCTCTATACTCACCACTCCCTATTCTGCCTTGCAGCAGAGAGCAGGTGTCTGGGGCTGCTTTTTACCTACTCTGTCATCAACTTTTTTTGCATTTTGTAAAAAGCAAATTGCAAAGAAAAGATTTGTGATTGCCCAGACTATGGTTCAAAGTCCCTTGGTGTTTGACGCACTGCTAAATGCTATCTACCCTTATTTATCTGGGCTAGAATATTTAGTCTAGGGCAAGAGGAACCCAGGAATGTCTGGGCTTTGTAACACTGCCTAATAGGTTGGGACTCTTCTCAAACTGACAGCCCAGATTCATCCGCTGGTTAATCTGTTTTATTAAGCACACCTGGAATCGGGGGCAGGGGCTCCCATGGACCTGTCTGTGTGCCCATATCTCAATCTCTCAGGAATGCAGATTCCTGGGGAGTCTGTCCTCAGAGGTCTGCTGGAGCGGGGTGCAGATCTGTCAGAGGAGAAGAATTTCCACCATGTATGTCTCCTAGCCAAGCACCTTTTGTTAGTTGATCTCACAAGAACTTATCACCAGTTTGGTAAAAGGAAATGAAAACTCAATGAAGCTAAGTCACTCGGGGACCAGCTGGGCTGGCAGGGGACCCAAGTGGGTCCTCCAAGCCCTGGCAGGAAGGACAGCGTTTGAGATGGCCGTTTTCTTTCCTCTTCCATCTACCAGCTGTGGGCCTTGCCACTCCACTGGGCACACTCCACTTGAATTCCTTGCCCTCTCTGTGGTTTCTCTCCTCCTCTGGGAAGAGGGACAATCACAGCCTCAGTCTCCCCGAGCTCTTCTAAGGAGCCAAACACCGACACCAACTGGGCAGGTCGCCTGGCGCCAGCTGGCTGAGGTCCTTGTGTTTGGACTCACTGGTCCAAAGTGCTGGAGGCAGTTGTGGGCATTACCTGAGTGACATAAACCAGACGGCCTGCATAGTGACTACACACTTGGGCACCAGTCAGGTGTGGCTTCCAGGATGCTCAAACCCACCCCCACTTTCGCTGACCCCTCATGGAGTTGTCTGGAGGAACCGGGACCCCTAGAAGGTCACTGCTCTATTGGAGCAAGGTGGGGTGGACCTTCTGGGAGAGGCGTGGTTCACTTTCACTCTTAACTCGCTTGCTCTTCCTGGAGGAACAGGGTCACCTGTGCACTAAACAAGTGGGCACACTCCACCTCAGTGGTTCCCACCCCTGGCTGCGCATCCGGAGGGCCAGAGCACTTTTTAAGTGAGGATAGGCTGAGCCCACTCCCAAACATGCCGATTTCATTGATTGGCATCAACATTGTTATAAGTGCCCAGTCTTGCTGGCTCAGTGGGGCACACCTGTCATCCCAGTTACTAGGGAGGTTGAGGCAGGAGAACCTCAAGTTTGAGGCCAGTCACTGCAACTTAGCAAGACTGTCTCAAAATAAAAATAAAAAGGACTGGGGATATAGCTCAATGGTAAAGGGGTCCTGGGTTCAATCCCCAGTACCACACGCACAGAAGTGCACACACACTGCCCCATCTCTAAAGCATAACCAGGGTAGAGAAGCAGGTGTCAGCCCTTCTCTCAGTAACCTCAGAGAAAGGGCAGCAAGCTCCTACAGGTCTGCAGAGAAAGCTCAGCCAAGTTTCTGGATAGGGTGTGAGAGAGCTTGTCTCCAGATTTGAGCCCCCATTTCATCTGAGGTTTGTCTCCATGCTGTTGAAAGGAAGCCAGACAAAGTTTTGTTGGTAGAGTTACTTTATTCTAGGGACAGGGACCATCCTCCCTCTTTCAACCCCTGTCTGGCAACAGCAGAGGAGGAATTGGCAATGAAAAAAGAGCTCCATAGGGCTGCATGATTTCTATTTTCCATGAGCCTGAAACAAGGCTGCGGTTGGAGGATGCAGGAGTTTCAACATTCCCAGTGGTTTGCAGGAGAAATGAATGAGTCCGAATCCGTGAATGCTTCCTGGGGAGTTTCAGTCCAGGTCAGCTCAGAGGATATTATTATCCATCACCTAGCCAACAGTCACAGGAGGGGTTAAACATAAAAATAGAATTACTCACGTTTGGCTGCATCAAGTGGCAGTCTAGAAGCCAGAAACAGAAATCCTAGGACACAGTAGAGACATTCCATGTTGAATTGCCCTGGCAATCAGGATATAACTTTCAACTCCTCTGGTCCCATCCACGGAGAGCACTAGTGTTCTGGGCTCAGCCGTGCCCCACTCTTTATTAAACGAAATACAGGGCCTCGGGGCAGATCATGTGATGGTATTAAGCAGCATTGCCTGATCTGTTTTCTTGAATTCAACCTCTTACAGCTCATGTGCTTGTGACTCACTCACCCCAGGCATCTATTTATTCACTATTTGGTTGTGCCCGATTTGGATTTTGTAATTTCATATTTACTAGTTTTAGAGGAACTTCCTATCCTATGACCCCATTTTAATATTCTTCTCCAAATAAAATTTCAGTTCTCCGTCCTCATTGATGATGAACTTGCTGTGGTTCCTTCAGTCACTCAGCTGATGTGCAGAGGATAGATCTTTTTTCTGTACTTTAGGATGATCAGCTCCCAACACTAGCAGATGCTTCTGCATTCCCTTCCCTGAAGAGGAGACAGATGGGGAGGGTCTCTCCAGTCATTTGAGATAGTGTTATACATATATAGCTAATAATGTAGATGTTGTGCCAGAATGTGCTGGAAACAGTTGCACAGGTTTCCAGTAGTTGAGAAATTTACTCAGAAGCACATTTGGAATATCAGTGCAATTCTTTATAATTTTCAAAACAACCTGCATAATCTTAGGTGACTGTTCTTAAAGCATGTACATGCATGTTGTATCTTTCAGGATCAATTGCATAAAACACACTGCATATTTATTTCATTTTATGGCAAGCAGGCATTGATGTAAAAACAAGCTTGCCTGAAATATAAATTTTGTACAAAGATGACATGAACTCTATTGCATGTGATCTTTCTCCAAGGCACATCCATGTGACCGTTTTCAGGGCATTAGAAGTCCTTGTTGGGAGTAAGGGAAAAATGTGGAGTACTGGTTTATGTTTGGTTGTATTACAGGGGAATAGAAAGAGTCTGTGAAACTGAAATCCGTAGAGCAGAGACAGCCAATTTCCTACACCTAGGCCATATGCAGCGGCCTAGAGCTCCTTTTATAGCCTTTGAAGCAAATATCAAGGGAAAGATAGGCACATGAGCCCATAATCCATGATTGAGACAACTGTTTTCAAATACAGATGAATAAGTGAATCATGGGAATATTTATTGGTTTTATGTCATGTAAAGTAAATAATTTACATAGTTCTATTTGCTGTTCACAAAACGTGTAACTTTTTTTTTGCTACCAGGAATTGAACACAAGGGTGCATTCACACTGCCACATCCCCAGCCCTTTTTATTTTTTATTCTGAGACAGGGTCTCACTGAGGCTGGATTTGAACCTTTGATCCTCTTGCCTCAGCTTCCTGAGCTACTGGGCTTACAGGTGTGCACCACCACACCTAATATGTATAACTTATACAGTTTTAAAAAAAAGCTTTTCAATTTAGGAAAAACTTCCTACTATTATTAAATATTATTGTTCTTTGTTGCTGACACAGTCCTGGCTTGTATTTTTGGCTAGATTAGCATCCTCTGTCTCTAAATAAATTGGAAATGTTAAACTCTTCCATAAGAAAACCTTAGTTTTGTTTAGGGAGTCACAATGACTAAATTTTCTTTTATGTTTTCTTGCCTTCTCTGCTCCATCAAGGAGAGACAGTGACACAGGGCAAGAGTCAAAGGTTGGTGCTGGACAGAGGTGAACAAGAAACTGGAAGCTCACTTGTCCTTTCTCTCTCTCTCTCTCTCTCTCTTTCACCAGAAGTTCTTAATTACAAAGAACTACAAATTGTATAATTTATCCCTTAATGACCAGAGTTTGACAATATATAAAGTAATTGGAGACAGGGCTCTTTGAGATAAAGAGTATCTACACTTTGTTTTATTTTTGAAAAATAAAAATCATACTGTGAAAAAAATTGAAATAATTGATTGAAAAAAGGGAAACATCTCAATTGTTTGGTATTACAGACACAATTACTCTATTTAGAAATGACACACCTGTAATGCCAACAGTTTGAGAGTCTGGGGCAGGAGGATTGCAAGTTCTAGGCCAGCCTCAGCAATTTAGTGAGGTTCTAAACAACTCAGAGAGACCCTGTCTCAAAATAAATAATAGAAAGGGCTGAAGATGTGGCTCAACGCTTTAAGCACCCCTCAGTTCAATTCCTGGTATAAAAATAAAATAAAATAAAGGAAGGAAGGAGAGAAGGAAATAAAAAAGAAATGACACCAAGTAAGGCAAACAATAGCCAACTTTTGGTAAGTGTTACTATTTGCCTCTAAGCATCTTTATTTCTGACACCCTTCCTGGTGGCCACAGCCCCAACTTGAGGAGTACCTAGGATGTGATGACAGCCAGCAGCCACTCAAAGGAACAAGCAGTGGCAGGCATCAACCACACACAAGAATCATCCAGGTTGGTATTAACATTGTTAGTTTTAGAAATTGCTCAGTTCAAACTGGTGTTTTTAAGTGTAATCATAAAAATTAGTTAAGATCCCTTCCCTGCCATCTCTTGTAAAAAGCTGTTGTATTAGTTCCTTGTTGCTGCTATAACGAACTGCCAGAAACTCAAAGGCTTATGACAATACAAATTGATTATTGTTCTCAAAGTCAGAGGTCTGCCATGGGACTACTGTGCTAAAATTGAAGTGTCAGGAGAGTGGCACTAGTGATGAATCTGCTTCCTTGACTTTTCCAGCTTCTAGAAGCTTCTCACATATCCTATTTTCTTGGGAGCAATAACTAGTTGGGTCTTCCTCATATCTCATTCTCTGACATGGGTTCTCCCATATCTTTCTTTTTATTTTGAGACAGGGTCTCTTGTTCACCTCTGTCCAGCATCAACTTTTGACTCTTGTCCTATGTTACGGGACCACTGGGCCCAGTTAGGTCATTCTATCTGCAAGCTTTACCCCAATCCTGCCATAAAACATAGTCACAGTTCGGGGGGTTAGGAAGTGGATTTTGGGGAGGCTATTATTCTGCCTAGCACAGTCATATAGCAGGTGACTTGGCAGAGAGTTTTATTCTTGAAGAAATGTGGGTAATGGGAACAAAAATGGAAAGTACCTCCCAAAGATTACAGATTACAGACCTGTTGAAACAAAACCTTTGATATTTGGCAGAGTGGAAAGGCAAGAATAAACTAAAGATAAAGGAATTAGTTCGGGGAGAGAGGGTGGGGGAGGGAACAAGCCAGCCCATGTGACTGCCTTGCCAAGTGCAGGCTTTTTAACGCATCATAATCAGAGTCATGGTTTTCAGATTTAAGCATTAGCAAATGACTCAGAGACTTCTGCTCTGTGTCTAGTTCTTCCATCTCTCCTGTCTGGGTATTCTCTGCACGAATGAGTAATTAAAGTTCCTTCTTTCCAAGGTTTGCTAAATTTTGCAATTACTCTCCCATCAAAATCTTTTCCCCTTACTTTTCAGGAAATGAGAAGAAAATGGATCTCAAAGGTAAGTGTGTCCCTTTCGCTTGCCTCTACAATCAAAGTGGAAATAACTGCTGTCGTTTTAGCTGATTTTCTGCCTGAAGGAATTAGACACCAGATGTGAGAAAAGACATTTTTCTTCTTGGATGCTGGCTGCAAACATTTTTTTGACATGACTCTTCTTGTGGAGTTCCTGGCCCCACTTAAAATTAGAAAAAGCAGTGGTTGTAGAAAAAAATGTGGATTACCACACTATTTACGTACTAGTTTTGGTTTTAGAGAACTTTCTCTGAATCGTTAGTGTAGAAGGAGCGCTCGTTGTGGATTGTGGTTGCATGCACCAGACAAGGGCTCTACCACTGAGTTACACCCCAGCCACACTGCAGCAGAGGAAGCCATGGGGAATGAGGAGAACGGTGGGACCCAGGAAGGAGAACAAAATAGGATCTATGCTGAGAAAGAAGGGAGGGAGCCATGAAAGGAATCAAAATACAAACCTGGCTTCCAGTTTTATGATAATTATGGGTTATCCAGAAACATCTCAGAACACTGGGGCCAGAGCATTGAATTTATTCATTGGAGATCAATGATAAGCCCAAGAAAAGGGTAGCTAGATCAGAAATCAAAAAGAGGTTTGGCTGTGGAAGAAAGGCCAGGAAACGAGATAGACTAGCACCTTGGATCCTTTTCCTCACATCTAAATCCAGCTTTTTTCCGGATGGAAGTTTTTACACTTCAGGTAGAATTAATTCAGCAAGCACTAGTGGAGGGCTATCTTTCTATAAAAGTTATTATCCTCTAAGGCAGGAATAAAAATTAGAGGAGCCCAGGATCTCATTGGGAGGATAAGGCATTAGCCTCTAAAATTGAATTTTTTATTGTGGAAACTTTCCCCAAAGCCCCCAAATAGAATAACACAATGAACAACATGTCCATCACCTGCAGATGACAGTATGGGGAGAGGGAGGATAGAGCCAGTGGTGTTTCATCCACCCTCCCCCCCCCCCCCCCCCCGCACTTTTGGATTAGTTTTAAGTCAATCCTAAACATTACTGGTATGTGGCATTTAAATGAAGTCATGTAGATAGAACTATAGGAGTTTAGAGAAGATGGAGGAAACAGAGAAGTGTTTATGGAAAAAGTACGAATTGCAGCTGGGTGCAGTGGTGCACGCCTATTAATCTCAGTGGCTCAAGAGGCTGAGACAGGAGGGTCGAGAGTTCAAAGCCAGCCTCGGACACTTAGCGAGGCCCTAAACAACTCAGTGAGACTCTGTCTGTAAATAAAATATAAAAAAGGGCTTGGGGGGGGGGACCTGGGGTTGTGGCTTAGCAGTAGAGTACTCGCCTAGCACATGTGAGGTCCTGGGTTTGACCCTCAGCACCACATAAAAAAATAAACAAAATAAAGGTATTGTGTCCAACTACAGCAAAATAAATAAATAAATATTTTAAAAAAGGCTGGTTATGTGGTTTAGTGGTTAAGCACTCCTGAATTCAATGCCTGGTACAAAAAAAAAAAAAAAAAAGAGTATGAATTGACCTAGTTAAACCATGAGTTTAGTTGATAAGA